AAAAGAAAAGAAAAGAAAAGAAAAGAAAAGAAAAGAAAAGAAAAGAAAAGAAAAGAAAAGAAAAGAAAAGAAAAGAAAAGAAAAGAAAAGAAAAGAAGAAAGCTAACCCCCCCCCCGCCTTTTCAGTGGGGGCCCCGGAACCACAACACCGCGGCTGCACTTCTCCTTTTGGAAGAGCTGGAAGTGAAAGTGAAGAGCCGAGAGGACCCGCTGTACCTCCCACCCACGCTTGTCCCACGGGAGGGTGTTTTGGGAGTCACCCCAGCCCCCAAGGGGCAGGAAAGGGCTCTGGGCAAGGCTTGGTGGGGTGTCTCTCCCAAGCCCCTGTGCTTGGCAAGGGGTGGGCAGCCAGGGATGGGACTTGCACAGCTTTTCTGGGCAACCTGTTCCAGTGCCTCACCACCCTCACAGGAAAGAAAAGGTCTCATCTAAATCTCCCCTCTTTCAGTTTAAGACTGTTCCCCCTTGTCCTATCACTCCACTCCCTGATCAAGAGTCCCTCCCATCTCTCCTGTAGTCCCCTTTAGGTACTGGAAGGTTGCAATAAGTTCTTCCTGATCCTTCTCTTCTCCATGCTGAACAACCTCAACTCTCTCAGCTTGTCCTCACAGCAGAGGTGCTCCAGCCCTCTGAGCATCTTTGTGGCCTCCTGTGGACCTGCTCCAACATGTCCATGTCCTTCCTTGTGCTGTCCATCTTCTCACGGTTTTTCTCCATCTCTGCTCACCCTAGGCTATTTCAGGATCTTCCTGGGAGAAAGGAGCTAAAGTTCTTTTTGGAATTGAGAAAATCATTAATTTAATGCTGCTCCCACTCTTCCCATCCCCTGCCCCAGCTGCGTAATCTTGCCACTAATGGTGCACTCTCTAGTTAATAAAAAGCACTGAAATGCAGGTCCAGCTCCTGCTATTTCCAGGAATGCTTGGTTCCATAAAACCATGGAAACCGTAATTCCAGCAAATTAAATCAGTCACTGCCCATCTCTCTGGGTCAGTGCATGGAAAGGGAAGAGCACCCTGTAGGACCAGTGCACAGGGAGGAACACCAGTCAAAGTCCACCAGCATCTGTGCTAGGAAAGGGGGATGACAGGCAGTCCCAGAAAAGCATGTCTCCTTCAAGCAGACATTAAAGGAATGCCATATGCTATAGGGTAAATGCACAGCAAGCAGTGAGCCCATCGGTCACTTTTTGTTTAATCTAGTTAAACACAGTATATCCTCTGACCTTCTGGGTTGGCACCAAGTTCTCCCGTGTTGTTCTTTCCATATGAAGCTCCGTTGACAAGATGGGCAAAGCCTAGAGTTTGCTTTAAGCTTCAGATAAGTAAAGTTAAACACGGCACAGATAAAATTGTTTTCCCAGCCCTCCCCTCCCACCGCCCAGTTGTGGGTGCTGGCTGGGGAGGCCTTCATTCCTCTGGCCCATCTCCCACCCCTGGCTCAGGGCACCACGCTCCGCCGCGAGCGAAAGCTGTCGGAGGGCAGAGGCAGGAGCAGAGCCCTGCTGAAACCCTTGGAAGTTCATTTTTAGAGTTGTCGCTCAGCTTCATTTCCATGTGGCAGACGATTAGGGGGAACGGTGCTGCTCTTCTGAATATATTTCCAGGGTCACTAAATAGTTTGCTGCCTGACGGCTAATCAGGCGGCATCTTGCTGATGCTGAAACAGGTTTTAAATAAAAAGTGGCGAATTGCATCAGGCACCCTCGTGCATATTCCCTGGTGCTGCTCTTCACGGAATGTATTTCCAGAGTCACTAAATAGTTTGCTGCCTGACAGCTAATCAGGTGGCATCTTGCTGATGCTAAAACAGGTTTTAAATAAAAAGTGGCAAATTGCATCAGGCACCCTCGTGCATATTCCCTGTTTATACAGGCTACATGTGTGTGCAATCAGTCCACATAGAGTTTTCTGGGAGGGCAGGCAACCACAGAGCTGGATTTAGGGGAGAGTAGGGTGCCAGGGTAGGCACAGGCTCAGCTTTTGGTGTGACTTTCTCACTCCCATGCAGGCAAACAAGAAGAACACTTATCTACCCTTCACCAGCATCACTTGGTAGCACCGCCTGCAAAGCTATTTTTTTCCAGTATGGAGAAAAATCCTTCAGTCTGAGCCAGGGGGGTTATTGCGGGTAACTCCTCCCTGTACGTACAGCCTGTGCTCGTGGACCTACGCACAAATAACTCCTTGAAATATAAACCAAAAGATACAGAAGAGCCTGGAGGCGATGCCCTTACGGAACAGGCCAGGTTAAAGAAGATTTCTTTACTGTAAATAGCTTTAATAATCCCTTTGTATATTAATAGCGCCAGGCAGGGCGGGAGGCAGCAGCCGCCGCCGAGTCAAGCTGGGGTGGTGTGAACCTCGTGGCTCTGATTTTCCATGGCCAGCTGCAGGAGCCATGGATCCCAACTGGGACCTCAAGTGATCAGCTTTGAGGTGTTCACTTCCATCTGAGCCCCCGCTGGCGTTCAGATAAATGCAGACCCTCTTGCTGGAAGCTCTCGGCCATCCTCAGTGGCTGTGAAGGACCCTGCTGCTGTTTCACAGCCAGGTAACATCTCTCTTGAAGCTGCAGGTAAAGTAGGAAGGGTGAACTTCCAGAGCAACTCCTTGCCTGGGGAGAATTTATCTTCAGAGACCAAGAGGGTGGCAGTTTTGCTGGGGGCACTGCTCAGTCTTGTTCCTCCATGGTCCAGCCTCCATCTCTCCTCTCCAGTGGGTCAGCAGCCCTGGAGAGTGGACAGACAAAGCTGCCTCAAGCCTCTCCATAAAACAAGTTCTTAAAACATGTCCTTAAAAACTCGGGTTAGAAATCCTTGGCCAAAAATGCCCGAGTAGAGGGCATGGCTCCTGGGAAAGCCCCAGCCTCGGGGGGAGCTCCTGAGGGGAGCCGGGGTGGCTTACCCTCCTTCGGGTGCCACTTGCCTTCGTTCTGCCTGTGCTTTGAAGTACCTCAAGGTTTTAGCTGTAAAGCTCTAACCACTTTAAAAAACAAAATCTTGGCTTGGGAAGGTGCATTGCCTTGGCATGTTTCCTGGGACTGAGTGACTTATGCTGCTGTGCCGGGAGGGGAGGACTCCTTCTCCTTGTTCTCGAGGAGGTGGGTCGCGCTCGTTCGGAGTCCAAACTCCCTCGGAGACTTCTTCTTCCCCCTTTTTTTTTTTTTTTTTGTCATGACATCAGCCAGGATTTGATGTTACTATTTTAAAAACAAAAGGAGGGGACACCCCCCCGCCTTCCCCCTCCTCTGCCAAAAAGCAGAACAAAGAACAGCTAAAGCGCACAAGTTCTGGCACTCCGTTTGGAAATAAAAACATTCATCCTCATGTCAGGTAGGGAACTGCCCGGCCCCCCCCGTGCCAAAGCAAGCAAGCCGGGCGGCAGAGCAAACCCCTGGCGCAGAGGAGCCTGGGCGAAGGGGATGCCCGGTGTCACCCCACGCTTGCCAAACTCCTGCCCTGCTGTATCGGTGCCAGGGACACGCCGGGACGCTCCCGGCCACCGGCAGCCATCCAGGGAAAGGCCACCCTGCTCCTTCCCCGGGCTGGGAGGTAGGGAAGGACCTTTCTTCTTCCCTTCTCCCACCCTTGGTCCACACTGTGCGGGCAGCCCCTTGCATCTCCAAGCGATGCATCCCCACTCCCCGGCGGGGCTGGTGCCTGGCACGGGGGTAACCCGATGTAATTTCCACGCTTTAAGACACTAACATCTTTGTCTGGCTTCTTCCTCGCCATTTAAACATGTCAGCAGTTCCCAGCACGGATTCCTGGGCTGTGAGTTCACCCCCAAGGAGCATCCAAGCTGCAAGTCGGGGCCGCTGGCTCTCCCCCGCCTGTCTGCGAAGCGTTACTGGAACAAGGGCCGGTTCTCCAAACACGAGGAAGAGATTACTTGGACTTTCTGGAAGGCTCCCTCCCATGCCTTCAGAGCGGAGCAAATGAGGATAATTTATCTGCGGGCTTCCAGCTGAACCCAGTAGCTCGGAGCAGGCAGGACTGTGCCGTCTGTTTGTCCCGGCTCCTGCGAGAAGGCGTTTTTTTTCCATTGTCACCCTTGTATATTGTTCCCCTGATTTGTTTGTGCCGTCGCCTTCTGGGGCTGAGATAAGAGGTTGTCCCCCCTGGCCTTTTACCGGTGGCACGTTCCCCAGAACAATCCAGGGAAAAAACTTTCACAGGAAAGAGCCTCCGAAAGGAGGCTTTCGTGTGTCCAATGCGGCCCTCGTTACAGTCCTGTAAATAGTTTTGTGTAATCTGTCTGGCGAGAAGCACAACATGTCAGAAGGGAATTGTTCTCTGAAATGCAGCGAGGGACGGGCCAAGGCAGGCGGTGGGTTGCCAGCTTGATGGAGAAAGCAGCTGCCTTTCGGTGGGGAACAAGAGCTGGGAGAGGGGGGGTGAGCCTTGCGAGCGTCCCTTCTTCCCCACTGGAGATGGAGTTGGGTTTTGGAGCTGGGTAGAAACCCCAGGCTCCTTTCCCAGCTCCGTCTGCTGGGACCTAAGGTGGTACTCGGGGATGGGTTAATGTCCCTGCTGCTTCTTCGGGGGGACGTGGGGAGTGGAGACAAGGTGATGCAGATGGCTGCAGCAGGTCCTCTCTGCAGCAGAAGCAGCCAACTGGAACAACGCTGTAACGCCATCCGCTTTAGTGAGGTTACTCGTGATTTTTGAGCCTAGAGTCGAGGCCCAGCGGCTCCGGCTTGGCACGAGGCAATGGGAAAAGAGCAGATCCTCTGTTTGCTTCCATCCTGCGCTGGCTCCGGTGCCTCCTCCCCTGTCCAAAACAGCTGTGTGTGTTGCCTGAAGTGACTTTGCAGACAGCAAAAGCTTAAAACGCTGCGTTCACCTTCGTGATATTTTTTTTTTTTTTCTCTCAGAGCAAATCATGGAGGAAGATCAAGAATATGGTGCACTGGTCCCCATTTGTGATGTCTTTCAAGAAGAAGTACCCTTGGATCCAGCTAGCAGGACACGCAGGTATGGAGTGTGGGGAAGGGGCAGAGCAGCGGAAAGGCCCTTCGTTATCTCAGGTTAATGGGCTTTGTCGGCCAGAATTGCTGCATGAACACCTCAGATTTCAGCTCACAACTCTCTAGCCCAGGAGAGGGATTTACCTCAATGCTAGGGAGGGCGAGGTGAAGGTCCAGGGCTCTGGGCTTCCAGTCTCCCATTGCCAGTGGGTATTACACCGGTTTCTTCTCAAGCAGCAGAGAGCTGAGTCCTTGGGGTGAGACCCAAGCCCTCTTGCTGACCTGCAGCGAAGCAGGTGATGCTGCCCAGCACCAAGATGCCCCATGCGTGAGCCTAGAGGCAAGGGCATGAACAGGAAGGATACAGAGGCTGTGAAGCAAACGCCTAGGTCTCTGTCCTGTTTCAGGGGTGACGTTGTTGGTCATAAACCTCTGAGGCTACTCATGAATCTGGCAGCCCACACTTGTAAGCGCCAGCGTGCGGGGACTCTTTCAGGTGCCAGGTGTAAATGGAGATGCTTCCAAGGTGTTGGGCTGCCCTTCTTGTTTTTGGGAAGGCAAGAGAGTCATTCTGCCTTCCCAAGCAAGTGCCATGTTGTCCCTCGTTGCCCTCAGGTAGTTTCAAGGCAGCGGCCAACGGCAGGATACTGAAGAAGCACTGTGAATCGGAGCAGCGCTGCCTGGACCGCCTGATGAACGATGTCCTGAAGCCCTATGTTCCTGCCTACCATGGCGACGTTGTGAAGGACGGGGAGCGATACAACCAGATGGAAGACCTGCTGGCTGAGTTTGACTCCCCCTGTGTTATGGACTGCAAAATGGGGGTCAGGTGAGTGGTTTTGGGAATGCTGTTCGAGTTTTAAGACAGGATATTCAAAACAAATGTGTCTCGTGGGTAAAACCCTCTGAAACACACGAGGGTGCCCAGGCTCACCTGTCTTCAGGAAAAGCTAAGCCAACAGGGTGAGGAGAGAGCCGTGGGGAAGCCTGGGTACAGGAAGGGCACACAAGGCTCTTTTCTTCTCTGCTTATGGACTGTCCCATGTGCTGGGGAAGTGGAGTGGAGGGCACAACACTTTCTTTGGGTTTGGGGACACCAGAATGGCATAGTAGCTTTAAGGAGGGTGGCAACCTGCTTCTCTCTACTGCAAGAGGACACAGCCAAGGGGAAGGGAGCAAAAGGTGTGGGAGATCTTCCACAGAGTGCCAGAGGGGTAAAATAAAAGCCAATTGAATGTCAGCTTCGGTGAGTGAGAAACTTTCCCTCTGCTTACCCTTTGCTCCCATGCACACTTGAGGGACAAAATGCATGTGCTAAGTAGTTTAGAGCCTTTCATGCAAATTTCTTGAAATGTTTCCTAACAGATGAGCAACATTACCCGTGTTCTCCTTGAGAACCATCTAGAGATGCGCCAAGATCCCAGGCAGCAGCCACTTGGCTGGCAGGAGCAGCCTTTGGGCTAGCAATGCCGCAGCCGACCAGGGTGTCCCAGCACAAATGTGAGCAGGGCCGGTGACCCCAGGTGGCCACCAATTTCGGAGCAACCTCGGGCCACTGCTCAGTCCTGGGTCTGCTGCAGGCTGGCGGCAGGGCAGGAGGAGACCCCCCCCTCCTTGGTGGCTAAAGCACAGCCCAGACGCGGTGGAGACGCTTTGCGCTGATGGAAAAGCTGATGGTTTCTGTGGGAGGGAGGAATCCTTTTTTTTTTTTTTTTTTTTCTTTTTTCCTTCCTGAACTCCCGATGTGAAACTCAAACTGGCGTGTCAGGCTGTCGGCAGGGAGGAGGTGAGGAATACTTTCCACCGGAGGGGTGGAGAGAAAGGCAGGGGGCCACGGCACAGCCATGTGGCCCCCGATGCTGCCGCAGGAAGGAGACAAGACCCGCTCTGGACCCAGAGATGATGGCCACCAGAAGAAAACCTGCTGTTCACGCTGCCTGCGTGCTCCTGCAGTTGTCTGTGGGAGGAGGAAAGCCTCCCGTGCACATATTGCAGGTTGAATGATTTGTGCTCCTGGGTTTTTGGAGCTAGGACAGACAGAGCAGGCAAGGGGACAACTGTGCCAGGCACCATCATTGTTAAAATAAGATGGTGCTGTGGAAGGGTAGAATCATAGAATCATAGAATGGTTTGGGATAGAAGGGACTTTAAAGATCATCAAGTGCCAACCCCCCTGCCATGGGCAGGAACACCTCCCACCAGACCAGATTGCTCCAAGCCCCATCCAGCCTGGCCTTGAACACCTCCAGGGATGGGGCAGCCACAGCTTCTCTGGGCAACCTGGGCCAGTGTCTCACCACCCTCACAGGGAAGAATTTCATCCTGAGATCTCATCTAAATCTCCCCTCTTTCAGTTTAAAACCATTCCCCCTCATCCTATGGCTCCCCTCCCTGGTCAAGAGTCCCCCCCCATCTCTCCTGTAGCCCCTTTAGGTAATGGAAGGGGTTCTAAGGTCTTCCCAGAGCTGTCTCTTCTCCAGACTGAACACCCCAAACTATCTCAGCCTGTCCTCAAAGGAGAGGTGCTCCAGCCCTCTGATCATCTCCATGGCCCTCCTCTAGACCCATTCCAACAGGGTCTGGTGAGGGAGGGTAGATTGAGCTAAATCTGGGGAGCTGGGAATCCCCAGGACCAGGCAAGAGAGGCTTTGGCAGATAAACTAAACATCAGGGCTATTAAACCTGTCTTCTGAGCCAGCAGCTTGCTGCCAGGCAGATACAAGCTTGTTTTTTCCCTGCCAACCTAGCTTCGGGAGGCATCAGTCGCTCCTGAACAAAACTTTGTCTGACTTAAGTCCTGGGGATGGTTCAAGCCTGGAGCGATGTGGGGGGACCAAACCGCAGACACAGACAGTCTGTCGTTCTCATCAGAAAGAGATCTAGCTCTGAGTGGTGTGAACGGCATTTCTGAGCACTCCACCACTTTATTCTGCTATTTTATTATGTCTGCCCAAAAATCATGTGTTTGATGATCTCAGCTGAAGCCCTCCATCGCTTTTTCCTGCAGTGTTTTTCAAAGGGGCTGATGCCCTGGGGTTGTCTGCTCAGTGATCATATGCCAGCCCTGGGAAAAGTCACCAGTTTGCCTTGCTAAGCCTGTGGAAAACACAGGAACACCATCCCACGTGGGCAGTTTCCTGGGCACATCTCGAAAGCCACGTTTAGTTTGTGAGAATCACTCACTGCTCAGGTTTGCTGAGAGACAAAGTCCTCCATCGAGGACCCAGAGGTGGCAGCAATGCCCTAGGCACCTGTGAGAAATGATTTCCCTTCTTGTCTCCAAACTGTTTGTGGGTCCCAGATGAACTGAGAAGACATCAGGTGTTGATGATGAGGTGCTAATTAAATCAGGATCAGTTCGCCTGCAGCCGGGCTTGCTTGATTATTTCCCAGGCTGCTCTACTCCCTGGAGATCAGCCATTCTGGATAGGTCTGATTTTTTAGGCCAAGGGCTGTCTGTGGGACCTCATGTGGTGGCTCTATGGCCCTGACGATGTCTCCTCCTTGCAGGACATACTTGGAGGAGGAGCTGATAAAGGCCCGGAAGAAGCCAAGCCTGAGGAAGGACATGTACCAGAAGATGATCGAGGTGGACCCTGATGCTCCCACTGAGGAGGAGAACGTGCTGCGGGCGGTCACCAAGCCCCGCTACATGCAGTGGAGGGAGACCATCAGCTCGACTGCCACGCTGGGCTTCAGGATCGAGGGGATAAAGGTGAGGCTGCTCCGGGTGTGCAGAGTAGGGGGGGAAACACTGGGGTGTTTGGTAACCAGACTCACTGACACGGAGCAGGCTGGTGGTGAGGCTCTATCACATTGGAACATCCCTGGTCCCTTCTGGGAGCACAGCTGAGTTTAGGGCATCAGTGCAAGAGGATGATTTTAGCCTTGATCTCATTAAATCAGCCCCTGGGTTGATTTCCCCTGACTGAAACGCAAAGTGCCACGCTCCAACTTGAGGGCTCAAACCAGTTGTTTGCTTTTGATGCTGCCGTGCTGAGCCACTAATCCAAATCCCAGTTTGAACACGTGCCGGTCTCTGGTTGGAGCTGGAAGTTTACCTGCACTCAGTGTATTTACATCTGCATTTACATCCCTGTCCAGGAAGGGTTCAGCAACTGAGCCTTTATGAAATGGGGTTGAACACAAGCAGGAGCGCTTTCTGCTGACACCTGCGTGTGTGTGTAGTCTACTAGTAGTAGTCACCTTTCTGGAGATGAAATGAATTAAAGGTAATATCATGCTTGAGCCAAGGGTTTCAGCCTGTGCCTGGGCATGGCATTGGTTGAGGGGAGCTCGATCAAGTTGTGCTTGGAGTAACTCAAAGCTTGAGGGCCCAGACAGTAGCTCAGGGCAGCTGCTTGCTTTATTTTTACATGTACCTTGATTGGAAGAGTTTCCTTCTCTTGATGACAGATCATTTTTCTCCTCCCTGGGTTGGCTGGAGTTTTTCCAGGATACCCATCTGGGTCTCTGTGGCCTTAAACTCCTGCACCTCTCCTGGCAGGAGGAGGTGTCAAAATGACAGAATTAAAACAAACTAAGCTGTTCCCTGAAGAAGCCTTTACACCAGACTTTTTGCAGACTTTCCTGGTAGCGTTTCCCTCGACCTCCCTGGTGAAACAGCAAGCAAATGCAGATGTTAGACCACGGGTTTAAAAGGTGATGAGCAGGAGCGGGTCACTCCGAGCTCCTGCGGGACAAAGTCCTTGGGCTGTGGGATGCTGCTGGTTGTGCTCTTCCCCAGTCTCCCCAACTCTCCCAAAGTCCCATTTTTGCTTCGGGTACCCAGGAGCACACTGCCAGCTGCTCCAGCTTGGGACAACCCTTTGCCTGGTTCTCAGTGCTGCTGTTTTGCTGGTGCTTATTATAAAACTGAGGCTATATTAAAAAAAAGCAAGACAGGAACAGGCCAGTTGGGACCAAACTCCCATGCACTGTTTCTTTTCCTTGCTTTCTTGCTATAATCAGGAGTATCTTATCTATTTATAGTCCAACACGATATAATATCCTTGGCCTCCAGCGGTGCGTCTCAGGGGCTTTACAGCAAAAGCGGGTCCTACATGAACCACTTGAAATAAAAAATTGTTAAAAACACCCCAAACCTAATCTTATTCCTACACAGGCCAAAAAAACATTGCGGGGGGAAACAAAAGCCAGTGAGGAGTGGTGAGAGTCGCACCTCTATTTTAGCTGACTATAAGCGAGCACAATGTGAGCAGTGGATTATTATTTTTTTTCTGAAGAGCTGAAGCAACTCTTTAATTGAAAAACATTGAGAAGTGCTGGCCTCCAGGAGTAATCCTGCTGCTGCTAGGGGCTGACTAATTTGATCAACGCTCTAATTACTGTAATTCTCCTTAAATCCCTTAGCTTCTGGATTATTTTCCCCTAAGCTAAAACATTAACAGTTCACTCTGGTTCCTGGGTAGCTTTTTTTTTTTCCTCCTTTTTTCCAGCAGGGCAGAATCCCTGCCTTTTCCCTGTTTCTGGGGTCAAATCCCCACATTAGGGAAAGCACCTTCAGCACCCTGAGGCTGCTGCTGAGCCCTCAGAGGAAAATTTTTGGGAGAATATCATTTAACAATAAGTTTCCTTGTGGTTTTCTTTCCTGCTGTGGATGCCTCTGTAGGATGAGCGGGTTGCCCCTTGCTCACAGCCAGAGGCTGATACAGGAGATCAAGGGAAGGTCAGGATTTGACCCTTGGGTTCATGGGCTGGAAGGAGTGGAGTAGCAGTAGCCTTCGGGACAGCAGGGGCAGAGGGGGTGAACAGGCAGCTCCAGGCTGGGAAAGAGGATGGACACCCTTTTCCTGGCTGAGCATTTGCTTTCCCAGGTGGCCTTGAGGTGGTTCTTTTAAAATGAAAATTTTCCTCTGCGAAAGGAGATAATGACACTCATCTGACTTTCTGGAGTAGCTTGAAACTGTTAGAAACAGGAGCTATTAATAAAATTACCCTGCAAAAAAAGTGATACACGTGATCCCTGGTGACCCAGTTGAAGCTCATGGGAGCTCACTCTGAGAAGTTTTGTTCCTAACCACCTGCTGTGGTCTGAGGGTCACTCCATGGTGGGACAACACTCCCTGGTGCTGGGACGTTTGCGAGGTCTCAGAACTGGCCCTGAAAACCCTCACCTGATTTTTCCCAAGATGGGTGGCTCAAGAGCCCTATCTGAGGCAGGACACGGTGCCGATGGTGGTGGGGGGAACCAGCTGACCCAAACCCTGCCCCAGTGAGGCCAGTGCAAACTGGGATTGCTGGTGGGGCGGAGGCTGCAATAGCCCTTATCAGCCCCCCTCACATTTCTGCTGTGTGGAAGGCAGCCCCCTGGGGGCTTGGACACCTGTAAATATCATGGATTTTGTCAGCCCCAGGGCAGCAGGGTCTGGCTGGGCAAGGAAGCTGCAGGGGGGGGGTAATTATAGGAGCAGCATTACAGATAGGCTGTTTGGCTTTCCTGAAGCCTGGATTGCCTTATCTGAAAGGCCATCTGTGGCTTTCATTTATTTTTAGGAGCACTTAGAAGTCCATCTCCTTTCTTGGATGCTTTGTGGAAAGTTGTGCTCTTTACATGTGAAATTAACCCTGTGGCACTTCTCCAAGCTGATATCCATCATCCCCTGGGGAGAGGGTGGGTTGGTTTCTGAGCTGCCATGTTGGGACTCATTTGACAGACGTATAGCAACGTATAGCAGCGTAGCACCCTTCCCCTATACATTGCCCAGGTGCCACCAGAGCATCCTCCATGAGGCCTCCTGCCTGGTGACGTGCAGCCAAAAGCAGAGGGCCTGGCTCTGCAGGGAGCCCCTATGGATGGCCCCTGTGGCAGGGAGGTCTCCACCCAGAAGGTTGTCCCTGGCCCCTGCACATCCTTAGCCTTGCTTTTATACCCTGTGGCAGCACAGGGGTTGGGCTGGTTTGAAGCTGGGAGCATTGGTTGCACCCCGTGCAAACAAAGCTTTTACTGGAGACCTTTCACATGTTGCTTTCGTTACCACCTTTGTTAACGCTTGAACAAGGGCAGGCTGGAAGTGCACTGTAGAGTTCCTCCCAAACCACACATCAGTTGTGGGGTTGGTGTTGGGCTCACCTTGCCCAGCTGTTCCCAGCCTGGGCACTTGGTCTTCCCCCAGGGCTCTGGCCACCATGTCCATGGCCAACCTTCTGCCCAGTGTGGGATCTGCATGGTCCCATCCTGGGGCACTTCTCTAGATGGGTCTCAAAGTCTTGCCAGGACACATAAATCTCTGGGGTGGGTGATTTCATTGTCCTCTCTTCCTTCCCCAGCCTCTGCTCTCTGCTTCTTCATCTTTACTTTGTCTTCCCCAGTCCACAGGATGTCTTTTTGGCCTCTGTCCATTCACTCTATTGTGTGCAAACGAGCTGTCCGGAGCAGTGGGATGGAGCTCTGGCTCTGCAAAAGGAGCTGTGAGCACCAGCACGTGTGGTTTAAAATAGCCCCTGTCTCCAGGAAACAAGCTCTGGTCTGCCCGACCCATGGCCGCTCCGGACAATAAAACATCCTGATCTAAAAATCAGAGCCCTGGCAGGATCTGGGAAATGGGGAGCAACCAGCAAAGCTGCCCAGAGGTTTAGCCAGGAGCTGTGTCCTATCCCTGCAGGGCACCAAGTGGTGCCATCCCTGTGATGGGCCAAGCATGGATGTTTCTCTGGGGAAGAGGTAGGGGAGAGCACCAGGCTGCTCACTTTGTCTCGGTGCCAAGCTTGCTGCCTTTGAGGGTCTGCTGTCTGTGGGCTAGCAAAGGGCTAGTGAGGCAAGACAGTGGTAGAATCATAGAATGGTTTGGGTTAGAAGGGACCTTAAAGATCATCCAGTTCCAACTCCCCCTGTGATGGCCCAAGCATGGATGTTTCTCTGGGGAAGAGGTAGGGGAGAGCACCAGGCTGCTCACTTTGTCTCGGTGCCAGGCTTGCTGCCTTTGAGGGTCTGCTGTCTGTGGGCTAGCAAAGGGCTAGTGAGGCAAGACAGTGGTAGAATCATAGAATGGTTTGGGTTAGAAGGGACCTTAAAGATCATCCAGTTCCAACTCCCCTGCCATGGGCAGGGACACCTCCCACCAGACCAGGTTGCTCAAAGCCCCATCCAGCCTGGCCTTGAACCCCTCCAGGGATGGGGCAGCCACAGCTTCTCTGGGCAACCTGTTCCAGTGTCTCACCACCCTCACAGGAAAGAATTTCTTCCTGAGATCTCATCTAAATCTCCCCTCTTTCAGTTTAAAACCATTCCCCCTCATCTTATCACTCCCTTCCCTGATCAAGAGTCCCTCCCCATCTCTCCTGTAGCCCCTTTAGGTACTGGAAGGGGCTATAAGATGTCCCTGGAGCCTTCTCCAGGCTTCTCCAGGCTGAACAACCCCAACTCTCTCAGCCTGTCCTCACAGCAGAGGGGCTCCAGCCCTCTGAGCATCTTTGTGGCCCTTTCTGGACCCATTCCAACAGGTCCATATTCATCCTGCTCACCACTCTCCCTTCTTTTTAAAGAAAGAGGATGGCACTGTGAACCGGGACTTCAAGAAGACACGGACAAAGGAACAAGTGATGGAGGCCTTCAGAGAGTTCACCAGGGGAAACCGCAACGTTTTGGTGAGTGGGGAGTACTGGGGGGGGTGGGCTGCCAAGAGAGGGCTTCTCCTGCAGAGGCTGCCCCTTGGCTGATCAGCTCCCTGCCCTAAGGGGCTGCAGCCTGAGCAGTCTCTCTTAAAAAAAACATTTAAAATGGCAAAAAGAAATGCCATCCTGGCCACAGGGGTGAGGGAGAGCAGCAGAGGGCTGGGAAGGGACATGTGGTGAGACACTGGAACAGGTTGCCCAGAGAAGCTGTGGCTGCCCCATCCCTAGAGGGGTTCAAGGCCAGGCTGGATGGGGCTTTGAGCAACCTGGTCTGGTGGGAGGTGTCCCTGCCCATGGCAGGGGGTTGGAACTGGATGATCTTTAAGGTCCCTTCTAACCCAAACCATTCTATGATTCTATGATTGCTGCAGCAGCAATGCTTGGGCCAGGTTCGAGTTTGCTGAGAGTGCTCCAGGGTTGGCCCCAAAGATTGCTGCAGAGGCACAGCTGTGTTCTGCTCCCTTGTTCCTGGGGGCATCAGCCTCTGGGCCCACTGTTGATCCCAGTATGTGATGGTGTGGGCAGAGAGGGCTCCCACCCTGGCAGAGAGGGTTGCCCCAGGCTCGGGTCTCACAGGATGGATGGCCAAGGCATCACCTTGCCTGCTCAAGACACCCTTGACGTGCATGAGCTACAGTTGGCATTTCCCAAGTTTCTCTATGTTGCCAGGAGAATAAGAGACGTAGCTGTAAACAATTTACACCAACTGTGTCAAATATCCCGTTTGACGAAGTGCTCCCATTTTAAGCTGCCCTACAGCAAAGCACGAGGTTCTAGCTGGAGTGACCCTTGGTACTGACTCCTTCAAACCAACATGTTCACTTTGACAAGATTGACTCCGGGGATTATTCCTGGATCTGTAAATGAAATTTTAACCCCGAAGAGTGTGGAGCACGCTCCCACCATTGTGCCTTGGCTCTGGACAAGGTGCTCCTTAGCCAAGCGATTGCAACACAGTGACTCCCCCATGTTACTGCACCCCAGTACCTGCTGTGCATGCTCCTGTGCTCAGTCCTTCTGTCTAAACCTCAAAATCAAATCATCAAAGAGTACCCCTGAGAATTTTTAGTGCCTTCCAACAATTTGCAGGGATGCTCAAAGAGGCGTGGGGCTCTTCAAAATCAAATTATCAAAGAGTACCCCTGAGAATTTTTAGTGCCTTCCAACAATTTGCAGGGATGCTCAAAGAGGCGTGGGGCTCTTGACCCGTATGCTGACTAGTGTGAAAGCGATTTGCAGGGATGCTTAAAGAGGGGGTCTTGACCCGTATGCTGACTAGTGTGAAAGCCCTTCCATCTCTGGCACTGGCTTTGCAGAAGCACTGATACGGACTTAGAGAAGCATCTCATGATGCTTGACTGACTGGGTGATAAAATGACAGATGAGGTGAGGAGCTGACCTATTAAAAAGGGTGCAGGTGAGAGGGGAAAAAAGCAGCCTGGCTGGGCACACATGGAGAGCTGACCTGTTAAAAAGGGTGCAGGTGAGAGGAAAAAAGCAGCCTGGCTGGGCACACATGGCAGTGGCTGCTGAATTAGCTGTTCCCTCCTTGGGAGCACTGTGGATGAGGCAGGGAAAGGCTGCAGAGAGCACCAGTTCAGCAAAAGCGAAAGTTTGGGTGTCGCAGGATGCCGTAGAGGCCAAAAGGAGAAGTGAACCCCCCCTAAAAAAGAGGGGACGCCCTCCCAGGGGACAGGTCTCTGGGGAGGATGCTGAGCGCAGGGAGATTCCCCCATGCAAACATGGTATCGCGGAGAGGATGCCGGGAGGGGTGACTCTCCTGTCTGTCCCTTACAGCAGTTTTTATGGAGGCTTCCTGCAGCACTGACAGCTTGGTTTGGGGTGTTTTTTTGTCTTTCCAGAACAGTTACCTTAACCGGTTGAAGGGTATCCGTGCTACCCTGGAGACATCCCCGTTCTTCAAATGCCATGAGGTAATACATTTTGAATAGTTCTGCCTGTAAATGCGAATGGTTTAATCTCAGCTCATTCAAGGAGAGAAGTCAAAGTCAGAGACTGTAAATTTTCACAACCTTAAATTTATTCTTATATCCATATTTTCATACCCATGTGTATCTAAGACTTAGGTGGAAATACGGCTGATGACTGATGTAATGTTCATGCATCTGACGTAGGTTCAAAGCTGCTGAAAAACAATGTTCACACAGATTAAAAGTGATCTTGGAAGAATTCAGGCTGCTTAGGGGTTGATATGACTGGGAACAATTGTTAGTGTAAAAGTATAAGTGTTTTCTGGAGAGAGATTCCTGTCTGAATGCGTGTCCTGTATTGTTTAGCTGCCAGTTGCTCCATGACATCAAACAGGGCTTCAACTAAGCCAAACGTTGCAGATACCCCCAAACTGCCTTTGCTGAGCTGGGTAGGGCACCATGGTAAGGACTCTTCCCTTGGAAGGGCTTTGCTTCAGAAATGAGCATCCACAAAATCAACATTTTCTGCAGGGAAAATTCAGTTCTGGTGGGAAAACAAAGGGGAAGCGCTACGGTTTTTTTGGCCATTCCAGCAGGAATTGGAATGCTCCATAATTTAATTAAATTGTTTTGATTTAGCATTGGCAAGGAGCGTTTGCTATTGCACCTACTTAACAAAACATGAAAGAGGGTGTCCTTGGCACTTGTCTATGGGCAAAAGAGCCTCATGGGAGCCCCAGACTTCCAGGGAGCAGGAGCCACAGCTCCAGGAGCCCACTGTCCCTCAGCCAGAGCCACATGGGCCACCTTGGCCCCAGGTGTGCATGGTGGGTCCCACCGGGAGCTGGAGGCAGATGAGGCCGTGCCTCCTAATGGTAGCGCCTGTAAGGAATTGGGAAGAGAAATGTCAAAACTGAGGGTTTTCAGGTCAGTTCAACAAGGGAAACAAAAAGCTCCCTGAAACCAAATGCCAGGGTTTCGTTTGAAAACACAGGAACAAAACAGCCTTTCAATAAGGTTTTGAAAGTAGTTTCCACTCCTTAAAAAATAAAAAGTAGTAGCTTTTGACTTTCCATCCTACTTCAAGATCCATCCTTCTGCCAAGCTCTGCGTGTCCCTACATGGGGCCCTCGCTGGGCAGGGCTTCTCCAAGGAGCTGCAAGAGAATTCAGTGACCAAGGACAGGCAAGCAAAGAACGTCAGCAAAAGTCTTTTCCTTAACATTAAAATGTTCTGTCCTAGCCAAGAGAGGGCTATAAGAGTTTGGAAGGAGAAGAGCTAAAGATAAGCATTTCTGGGAAATAATACATATCTCTGGACCTTGGACACTTTCCCAATGCACTGGAGGAGGAAGTCTCCTCAAAAATGTAAATTCATAATAGCTTTTGCAAACAGTACGCGCTTCCTGTTCAAAAGCCTCATCTAAAGGCAAACCTCAAACTAAACCCTGCTGATGGCACGGACGTGGGAGTCCCCAGTAACATTTGCTGCTGTTTTGGAGGGCTGGCACCAGCTGTGCCAGGAGGACACAGATTGTGTCCTCCAATCTGTGCAGCTTATGGGGTGCTTCTGGCTCTCTCAACACATCCTGTCTGGAGGAGCAGATCCTGCAGAAGAGCACAATAGTGAGTGGCCTGACACCAACACGTGTTCCCCGAGTGTTGGGAAGTCACAGCAGAGCCTTGAGACTTCTGCTGTCAGAGGCAGCGTGCTTCACCTTCCCACACGGAGCCGTGGGCTTGCCCAGGCCAATTCTTGCTGCAGGATTTTTCCCAAAGGCTGGTCAGGATATGAAGGAGCCTTTCAAAGCAGATGCAGCTGAGCAAAACTCATGGAAAAGGGAATTTGCGTGTGTGCACCTCAGTAACTTGCATCCTCAGAGCACTGTGGAAGCCAGGAGGGTATTTTAGGGGGAATCTTGAGTGCCATTGGATGGTGTTTCAGACAGGAGACAGCAGGTGGCAAGCAACTTGTACTTGGAGGGTATCTCTCCCTGTGGGGATGTCTGCAGGGCTGGTGAGCAGAATTAGCATGAGCCAAGCCCAAAGAACTGGTCTTGGGGAAAGAAAAATCCCCATCTGAAGGCTGAGACAATTCATCTCATTCCTTGGAACCTTGATTGGGTTTTCAAAATGACATCTCTACTTTTAAGGCCTGCGTTTTTCTGATCCTTTCCTTCTCTCAAGAGCTGGGATTTGATTTGTATTTGTATTCATACAAATGAGCTTGCTTTAGCTCATGCAAAAATCTCAGCAGCACGTCTTGCAAATGCAGCCTGAGATAAGGTGTCGGAAAGCCCCGAAGCTGCCTGGGAACGAGCAGTAGGAGCACCACTAACCGGTCTCTCCTCTCCGCAGGTAATTGGGAGCTCCCTCCTCTTCATTCATGACAAGAAGGAACAGGCCAAAGTCTGGATGATTGACTTTGGGAAAACCACCCCGCTGCCGGAGGGACAAGTTCTCCAGCACAACGTGCCCTGGGTGGAAGGGAACAGAGAGGATGGCTACCTCTGGGGGCTGGACAACCTCATTCAGATCCTGACAGAGTTGTCCCAGAGCGAAGACTTGCATTAAAGCCGCGTGTCCGACTCTGCCACTACCCCCAACCTGCCCCTGACTGACTCTTCTGAACTGCACTACAAGACACTTTCCAGCCCTTGCCCTTCCCATTTGAAAGCTATTACTCTCCCTATTTAATGTGGGGTTTGTTTTGTGGGGTTGGTTGGTTTTTTTTAGGTCGTCTTGGGTTTTGGTTTGTTTTTTTGGGGTTGGGTTTTTTTTCCCCTCTCCATGTAAATAGAGAGCTAACCTGCCAGAACAAAAGCTGAACTTGAAACCTTGGCTTCGCAGAGTCGGTGGGAGCAGCCCAGCAGGGGTTGCTTAAGGCAAGCACACGCTTTGCCCATCAAGCTTTTGATTTTGGGAGGGCCTGTAAGAGGGCTGGCGGAGGAAGGAGCCTCTCTCTGCACTGGGATAGGCAGCTTCATCCCAAAAAACACTCGGCGGCTGTGCCCAGGACCCTCTGGCAGCCAAGGTGCCTGAGCAAGTCCTGGAAACGGTAAAGGATACTGGGGTGGGAACATTTTAGTTGTCTTTGCCAGCACCTTTCAGCCCAGGGAACTGGCTGTTCCGAGTCCCTAAGAGGTGCCAGAAGGGCGGGTTTGGGTTTTTCTTTGTGTTCAAGGCATCACATGGAGGTTGCTCAGTTATTTTCAGGTGGCACTGGAGAGTGATGGTTCCCCTCCTGCTGGTTGGGTGCAGGTATTTACCGTGGCCAGCTGCTTTCCACCCACGTCCCTCATGCTGGGCGCACTGGTATGGTGGGTAACACTTTGAGCTCCTCTCTAGAGACCCAGCTCCCCTGCTTGGAGCTGCTTCCAGCTCTCCTTACCTGGGGTCTCCAGCCCTCCATGGGGAATAAAGGCTGTGGGAGAGAAAAAAATGCTTATAAGGGACTATCATGAGACCTAAAGTTGCCATCCAGGTTGATCGGTCTTTTTTGGGCAGCAGCCAAGCACGTATGTATGGGTAGCTCTCCCAATGCCCACACCTGGACCATGGTGGCCCTTCTATATCTCCATAACTTTTATCAGCAGTAGGCGAAGGGTTAGAGCAGCAAAGCAGCTCTGGAGGAGGCCTGGTTAGATGTCTTTGGCAAAGCAGAGTTGGGGCCAGGCATGCCTGTGCCTTCCCTTTTTCCCTGCAGAGATGGCTGACTCTGCCACTTGCTCTTCAGCTTCTTGGGCTGCGCCGAAGGTCTCTACGCTCCCGATCCTGGGAAAACACCCAGTTCCCTCTTTAGGGCGGAGGCTATTTTTTAACTTCCTGGAACATTTGAACTCAGTGGTGGAGCTGGCTTGCTAAAGGTCAGCCATCGAGAGGGTGGCAGGGAGTCCCTTGCAGTGCTGGAGGTGCAGGAGCTCAACGGCCACAAATCCCTCACCTGCTCCATCGCCAAACCCACTGGCTCGTAGAATCATGGAACAGTTTGGGTTGGAAGGGACCTTAAAGATCATCCAGTTCCAACCCCCTGCCATGGGCAGGGACACCTCCCACCAGACCAGGTCGCTCAAAGCCCCATCCAGCCTGGCCTTGAACCCCTCCAGGGATGGGGCAGCCACAGCTTCTCTGGGCAACCTGTTCCAGTGTCTCACCACCCTCACAGGAAAGAATTTCTTCCTGAGATCTCATCTAAATCTCCCCTCTTTCAGTTTAAAACCATTCCCCCTTGTCCTATCGCTCCCCTCCCTGATCAAGAGTCCCTCCCCATCTCTCCTGTAGCCCCTTTAGGGACTGGAAGGGGCTCTAAGGTCTCCTTGGAGCCTTCTCTTCTCCAGGCTGAACAACCCCAACTCTCCCAGCCTGTCCTCATAGGAGAGGTGCCCTCTGAGCATCCTCGTGGCCTCCTCTGGACCCACTCCAACAGGTCCATGTCCTTCCTGTGCTGAAGACTCCAGAGCTGAACGTAGGACTCCAGGTGGGGTCTCACCAGAGCAGAGGGGCAGAATCCACCCCTCACCCTGCTAGCCACACTTCATTTGATGCAGCTTTCTGGGCTGCCAGCGCACATCTTGCTCGCCGGGAGCAGTGCTCCAGAGCCTCTCCACCATCCTTCCATAGGTCCAGCATCCTCAGTAGGGGAGGTCTTCTCCTGGCAGCAATAAGGTAGAGGAGTTGGCCGTCGGGCCGTCTGCAGCCATGCCCCAGCCTCCTTCCCTAGGATTGAAGTCTCCTAAGGTTTTTCTCAGTTCATATCTCACCAGACAGATGTGTCTTTAGCTCATCTGATGCCATGTACATGGTTGCACTGTTTTAGCTCTTTGCCAGGCTTTCTAGAATAGCCCATGTGGAAGTGCCTTATAGACTTGCCTCTGTTCCATTAGTGTCATGGAAAAGGTTGGGGTTTGTTTTTTTTTTTTAAGTTATATTTATTTTTGTCCCATTTTAATTGCACAAAACACTAAAACTTAATGCATGGAATAGCTTTTTTTTTTTTTTAACTGTGTTTTTAGTTTTTAAACCATCCCTTTTCCAGCTTTGGAGAAAGGGTGTGAACAGATATGCGTAGATACATACCAGTTATTGCTGTACTTTAGCTTTGAGCTGCTCTTATATATGTATATTATTTTTTAAGCCTGTTTATAAACCAGATTTCTCGCTTCATGGCTTCCGAAGAAGCAGATTGTTCCTTTCAGATGTCTTATGCCTTTCTGGAGGCTGGAACAGTTGCTGTGAGGGATTTTCTCCGCTCCCACCTCCCCTCTCAGTCATTGGGTAACACAGTGAAAAAAATCCGAGCCGGTCATAACCACCAACGCACAGTGCCTGTAAAAAAACTCCTGTAACTTTGCAAATAAAGGCATATGGGAAGCATTTGCCTGGTGTGAACAGTTCGTGTCCCTTCTACGCAGCTTGTGGCAGCCTGGGAGTCATCCAGGAACCGGCTTCCATGTCCACGCTGATTTTTGGGAGTGCTGGGCTCCAGCTTCGTTTACCCCAGCACACGCTGGGGACAGATCCTGACAAAGGGGAACTGGCAGGGTGAAATTGGAGCTGGGGGTCCAGGCTGGGTGGAGGGAAACCCTTGGGAGAAGCCTGAGTTTCTCCATCCCCCCTTCTGCAGGGCTGCCCACCACAGGCAGCGCCACACAGCAGGGAGTTTTTTCAGTCTTTTATTATTTTTGCAGCTCCCGCTGAGTGGTTTCTGAGTGCCACCCTGTGATTTCTTTGCTCGAGGGTATCAAAGCACCTGGGCACATCAGAGCTGCCTGCTTCCTCTCCCTCACAGCAAAAGGCCACCAAAAAAAGCCCACTGGGTTGGTCTTGCATCGAGGGAGAAATCAGGTTGTGGATTTTGAAGGCAGCTCTAGTCCCTCCTGGGATGGAGGTGCCCAAGAAGGTTAAGTGGGCTGCCTGGTAAGAAAAGTCACATTTGGGACTAGTCCCTGCAGCATCTCTGCTGCTCACCACGGCACCTCCGAAACAAACTGCAGGGGAAACTTGGTGTGGGCTTTGCTTCAAGACTAGAAACCTCTTGCTGTGAGAAAGAACTGGCAGTAGTATAGACACACAGCTCCTAGACGTGCTCCCAGCAGCCTCTGGTGGGATGGGAGAAAGTTTCCTGGCTGGGAAACGCTCCTGCAGCATCGTTACCCACGTTTTACTTAAAACTCCAGTTCTTTGGGGGGCCACCAAGAATCTCATCAGTGTCCTGCTTGTGGAGGCAAACAGAAGCCTCCAGAATTCCAATAACATGGTGTTGTGGTGGAGAGGGAAAGGGAAGAAGTCAGGGAAAGCAATCCCTCACAGCTGAGCGCTGGCATCTGCTGACCCTGAGGTTTGTGCACTGAGGTGGGAAGGAACAAGGCCCCAGTGGGCACACACCACAGCAAGAGCCCCACTTTCCCCCCCACACACACACACTTGGCTCTGCTGCACCCCCAAAGCAACGCCCCGGGCTCCCTGCCATTTCAGGGACTGATAAACTAATTGATTAATAAACTCAATACAGAGAAGAGCGGCCAGCGCTGCCATTAATGCCACAAAGAAAACTTTAGATGCTGCTGAGGCTTCCACTGTTACGGCAGGTGGGGAGGGGGCAGCTAATTTTCTCATTAATTATCTAATGAGGTGCTACTTGCAGGAATGAACCTCCTATAAAGGAGGGGGTGCTGGGGGCCAGCTGGGAGTTGCAATCTCTGCAAGTGCAGGACTTTGCTGTGTTGGGTGAGGGGAGTCTGAGGTTCATGTGGTGCAAGATGTTGGTGGTACCAGCTGGTGGGATTTTAAGGGTCTCTGGGAAGCCCTTCAAGAGGTGTTTTACCCCTGCCATGGACAATGCAGGGCAATGTTACTGCCTGCCCTCATCCTCCTGTCCCCCCTCTCCCCTTGGCCAGGACCCTGCCCTGAGGAAGGGCTGGAGGGAGTTGCAGCACCTGAGCAATGAGACTGCAAAAGGAGGGTCTTAATTGCTTAAATAAATTGCTGCTAACTAAATTCTGCTGGCCATAAATGAAGGTGTGGGGAGAATCCGGGAGGGGTTGGGTGTTGCTTTTTGTTTGTTTTAAACACTGAGGAGCAGCTTTGGGGCTGATGCTGCCCGTAATGGGCTTTTACCCCTGCCATGGACAATGCAGGGCAGCCTTACTGCCTGCCCTCATCCTCCTGTCCCCCCTCTCCCCTTGGCCAGGACCCTGCCCTGAGGAAGGGCTGGAGGGAGTTGCAGCACCTGAGCAATGAGACTGCAAAAGGAGGGTCTTAATTGCTTAAATAAATTGCTGCTAACTAAATTCTGCTGGCCATAAATGAAGGTGTGGGGAGAATCCGGGAGGGGTTGGGTGTTGCTTTTTGTTTGTTTTAAACACTGAGGAGCAGCTTTGGGGCTGATGCTGCCCGTAATGGGCTTCTCCCCCTTGGTGAGCCCTCGCTGCTGTCCCGGGGGGGGCAGGGGGTGTCTGGTGGCTTTGAAGTGGGCAGCACCCACGGGTGTGCCCGTGTCCCCCTCTGCTGTGGGTGTGGGTGTGGATGGGGGGGGTGGAAGAGGGAGTTGGGGGGAGCTGCCGGGATGGGAAAGGGGGCTTGGACTAGATGGTCTCCAGATGTTCCTTCTAACTCCATATCGTTCTGTGAAAGCCTTTCAAGGCTTTGGTGCCGGGGTTGGGGGTGGCTTTTCAAGGGAGGGGGGGTGGCAGGGTGGCCAAATAGTGTCGGG